ATACATCATTTATTTAAAAAATAACTCGGTATGGCAGTCAGATCGGGTCATCAAAGTCCATAAGCTGAAAGGTATACTAGTAGACCTTTCACCCAATGTATTTTTTCGGCCCATTTTTCTGGGGCTCTAGAGCCTCATTACCATTTTCGTGTCACTCGCAACATTACCAACAGATTTAGAAATGAATTTCAATCCCTTCCCCATAGTCAACTCCATATATTTACGCATACGTTACAACTGTCTGTCCGCTAATACTAATTCAGTGAATAGTTTCTCAACTGACGAGGACGCTAAAATCACCTCCGAATTTTTCGCTCGTTATGGCAATTGTTCGAACTGACGTACAAAAAGACAAAAATTAACGAGATACACTCTTCCAAAGTGGAACAAAATGTTAAAAAGATCATGCATCAAATTGTGAAGGGATCCTCGTAAGAAGACTTTAATCTTCGTAATGGTTTTAATGGGTCGATGATCAACAATGGCTAGCTTATGGTCACTGGTAGTCAACAGCGAGGTTGACATCAAGGTCAGCGGTCCAGTGAAGATCCAGAAATGGTCAAGAGGTGTTTACCAATCGAAATAGTTTCTTTGTAGACAAGACAGTCTTACCTGTTAACTTTAACTTTGGCTCTGACTAGTCTCCCCATCCTTTCATCACCTTACACATATAAGTAAGGCCACTGTGAAGAATTCTTCAATCTCGTCGCGAATTCGGGAGGGTACAAATAGCCAGAAGAAAACCGGGGACCTCTGCTAACCATGGCTGACCAGTACTGACCAGTACTGACCATTACTGACCATTACTGGCCGCTACTGACCAGTGATGACCAGTGCTGGCGCCACTACTGACCAGTGCTGGACGGTGATGGCCTACGGTAAGAACTGTTTAAAAATTCTCTCCCCTTTTCTATTCTATCGTTTGATGCCAATTTAGTTTCAATGAACTGATTTTGCCTTGCTTGTCTAACTGATGTTGCTATAATATGAATATTTTCTTACTTTACAGCTGGCCCAGTGGTAACTACCCTATGTACTGACAACAAGTAGTAAGTCCACTCCACTTATTTATATTTTATTATTTTTATTTGTTTGTTTGATATGAATTCAACTTTATGTGTCTATCTGATTTTATTTAATTATTATGAATGTTCCTTTTCTCTGTTTCTACTTTTACATTGTTTTCCGAATTTATGTATTGCTTTGATATGTATAATATTGCAGAATATAATAATGTAATATTGTTTTCAATCATATACTACATTTGTTTCTATACAATTTCATGAATTTTTATTTTTACGTTCTTGCTCGAATTCTCGTAATATTCTACGGAGGTACTTTGTCTAATTCTTCCATTTCGTTTGATTGTTTGGTGTTGATTCAATTTGATGTCTCGATCCAAGTTTCTTTCATTATTGCGAATGTTCGTTTTGATATGTATAACATTGTGTTAATGCATACACCATATTTGTTTCGATGATACTGATGAATATAAGAATATTCCTTTTGATATGCATAACATGGTGCCGATGCATATACCATATTTGTTTCGATGACACTGATTAATATAAGATTTTTATTTGTATGTTTCAGCTTAAATTCTTGTAACATTTTGCTAATATACTCTGTTCATTTCCCATTAGCTAGGTAATAGATCATTGTTAAGTGTTTATTAAACTTCTTACCATATCTTATTAATATATAAATTAGTTTTGATTTACCTTCACCCCTTTTTAAACAAAATAATTGCTTGGTACAATTAAACTAGACTTAAGCTTCGACTGGTTGTATTCGTACTTTCGTTGGCAAGTGTAGTTAGTATCGTTTGCTTAAAATTATAATCTTCTTGCACCCCGCGATTTTTAAGATGACAAATGTCATAGTAAATTCAATTGTTTTTAATTTGATACTCATTTTAAAATGAATATATAATGAGTACATATATACCTTTCTCTAGTTCGCTTGTTCCCTGGTTCCCGCTTTCCGAGATTATGTCTCGACTGAAAGAACCAGAGAGTTTTGCTCGATCACCTCTGTTTGATAGAATGAAACATGTGATCACCTGTGTAGTAGGTCTGATAGCTCTAACCGCTTCAACCCTGGTGCAGCTTGGTTCAGCTTAAGTGGGGCTTCACCGAGCGTATATTCTCCTCTTTATACGGAAAAGAGCATAACTTCCGGCGAGAGTTCTTGATTCAGGATCTTTCTTTAGTAATAAGTCGGGTCCTGTTGTGATCGTGTGTCCTCTAGGACCCGGCGGTGTACGTAGAGAAGCAGAGTGACCAGCTCCAGGGGCGTGACTTGCTTTTCTGATAATCAAGGCCGGGGGGGATCAATTTGATACCCACACTCACTGCACGCTATGAGCACGTGTCGCGTCGCGTTTTATTTAAGCTTGCAATGTTTTTGCACGCCGCGATTTTTAATATGACAAATATCGTAATATCAATCGAAGGTAGAGTCATGATTTTAATATCTTTTATAATACTTATAATTATATTCATTTTAGAATGAGTGTCAAATTAGTAGCTTCCGATTGTTCTTTACATTCTTCAATAATTAAATTCACTTTCATAATTGAGTTGACGACTTTGGGTATCTTCGATATCGAAGTCTTTCTTTACTCATTAAAATATATCATTAGATTAACGTGCAAGAAGATATTTTGCGACGAATACATTTTAGAGTCAAAGTAATCTCGTATATTATGTACTATTTTTACTTTGTCACTGCACTTGTCTGTAGTTGTAGTATTTGTAGTTTTACAGATTCAGTGTTGAGAGCATATTCCTATGGAAGTTTTAGATTTATAGAAGTATCAATTTTGTGTGATATTGCTTTGTTTGTATTTCAGGAAATCATCGTGGGATAAATAGAAGATAGAAGAAAAAATAATGTATTTCATGTATTTTGTTTCAGATTGCTTAGTTTATGTTTTAATAATTTAGATTTATAGTTAGGTAGAATGTAACAGTATGTTTCAGGAAATCTTCGTGGACGGATCAACAAGGAAGAATACATTTTCTATGTATTTTGTTAGATGATTAGATAGGTAGGATGTAAACGAATTTAGATTTATAGTTAGGCAGGAATTTGGTTCCCTATATTAATCATTATATCAGGCAGGCAATATTTTGGTCCATTTCTCTGTTTTGTTGATGAGAATTTAGAGGCAAATTCTTTCTCAAAAAACTCTTTCGTTGGTTGTTTCCTTCGTTGGTTGCACTTTCGTTTGTTTCTTCTTCGACCAACGATTGTTGGTCCCAGATCTTTATTAATGGAGGGTGGTTGGGAATTGGTTAGGGCGGGTCTCCATTCGCAGCAACCTCCATGTGGTGAGACCTGCATAATACTATTTAGCGTTTAATTAATGATGGTATCACTCTTAGCCGGGTAATGTAATTATTAATTAAAAACTGAATAATATTAGCAAATTGGCTGTGTTCTTCACTAGATTAGTCTTGATTCTCATTGATTCATCAAAGATTCAAGAGTACTGTCATAGACAAGGTATACAGGTATCTTTCATCCAATGGATTTTTTTGACTCATTTTTATGAGGACTCGAAACCCCATTACCATTTTCGTGTCATTGGCCACGTTACCAATAGATTCAAAAATGAATTTTAAACCCTTCCATAGTCAATTCACATGTAATTACGCATACACTACAGCTGTCTGCCCATGAATGCTAATTCAACGAATAGTTTCTCAACTGACCGCCATCCATGAGAAGAGGCTGCTAAAATCAACTCCGAATTTTCAAGTCGGTATGGCAGTCAGATTCGGCCGCGAAAGTTTATAAAGTGAAAGCACAGACGAGGTATACGAGGTATACCTCCTCTGTGTTTGAAGAGAATGGATCTTTGCTGTATTAAAGTGCAAAGTGAGCACACTGGATTGTACAGACGATAAAGTAGTGTTCAATTGTGGTGCTTTGTATTGCGTGTTGCAATAAAGTAACATATTCTTATTTTTTGTCTTGTTGCTAGATCCAGTTCTAAACTTATTTTTTAACAAAATAGTTCTACCGTAATAAGGCAGTAGTGTCATCTACCGTTCAACATCCTCATAACTAATGGTAAAGAATACCTCCACTCTCGTTCTGTGATCTCGTTCAGATTGTACGCCGGTCCCGCATTTCTGCGAAATTATCCACTTTTCTTCGGTTGTCGATTACGGACGTCGGTAAAAGATAAAGGCGACTTCGAGGCTCAATGATATCGCCGTGTATGATAATAATATTTCGCCACAGGTTGATGTGACTTAAAAATTAGTTAAATTGTTGTTGTTTAAGGTGATATTTATGTATACAATTTGGTGGTTAGATCTTGGGTTTATTAATCATTCGGCAACTTTGATATTTTCTATTGCTTCTGTTTTGGTGATAATTAAATCCAGATTTAAGTTGATTTTCTGTAATAAATACCTATTAATTTGTTACTATGTATCTACATATACTATATGTGTCTTACTGACTATCCGAACTAAAACATAACCTATTTTCTGATCACGTTGACTTACATATGTAAAGTTACTTCTTTTCACGCTTTTTTCCACCGGATGGATTAGCTCGACTTGCCCGTCCACTGGTGGAAAGACATGCTGCGGCAAAACACGTGGCCTTAGCACCAGGAGTTCAGAAAAACGAGTAGTATACGTATAACTGGTAGCCTAATTGCGTCGCGTGCTCCTCTCCAATGTGACCTCTCGAGATTCAGATTCAAATATACTTTATTTCGGGCGTGTAGGAGGAATAATAAATGGAGTATACAAATAAATATTTAAGGAATAACATTTTATTAGGTCTACGCTATGCTTACAATAATTCCAGTAAAGTATTTAATAATAGTACTTCATTGTTTGAGAAGAAACTGTAAGTGCATGCAAAAATAGCAAAATACAGTAATTTCTGTTTATTTTTTTAACCGACTGTAAACAATATATACACGTTACCAACAGTTATTTAATGATGTATTTTACCTATACGTTGAAAGAATATATGAAAACATTACAACACAGCAACAAACGAATTTCGTTACAATTTTGCATTTATCAATTTTACATGTCTTGTCTAAATTTAAATTCAAAATGCAACAGAAACGTTGATCCGCTTATTTGTTATTAAGATCCGGGTCCTGCTGATGAAGTCGGCGATGCGACGTTAACTGCAATCATTAATTGAGTCGTAAATTATTTAAAGTAATTCAATTCAATTAAATATATTTCAAAAGTTATAGTGTTTTTAAAAATATCTCGAGTTTAGTCTGAAACAAGCGCAATTTTGGGCTATAATACTTTTTTATTTATAGCGTTTAAAGTCACATCTATCTATCGGTCGATAGATCCATTTTATAGCTCTAACGATAAACGTAAATAATATCGAGAATTTCTCTACCCATTGTCCAACGATGAACGATAACGTGTAAGGGTCGAATCTCGATGAATCTTTTCGACGCGATTGGGGGAAAAGTATCTCCCCTTGACCTTCAAACTTTCGCATGGGTACAGCGAACTCGTTTAAACGCATTGTGTCTAGTTCTTGGTTCTTGTCGCTAGTCGTTGCATCGTTCTCTTGAAACGCGTCATTCTGTAAATGTGGATCGAACCTCTTGCCATGGCCACCGAAACAGGAGTGCCCAAATGCCGAACAACCACCTACGGAGAACAAAATTATTAATTTCTTTTAATATTAGAACATATTCAGATACAATAAGTCTCAGCCAAAATCGTACACCATATACGAAAATATGTTTCATTCCAAAAAAGAAGTTTAGGAATGATTTGGAACAAAAATAAGGCAGACATATTATTGCAAATATATCAGTATTTATTGTGTAATAATGATAAAAGAAATGAATATTGCTTAACATAAAAAAAATTAAAATTATTATAATACGTTACAGAAAACATCTCACAGCTAAAATCGTACACATTAAGAATATTGTTTTATATTTAAATTAAATTAAAAATTAGTACTTTGTAGGATATCTTCGGCTACATTCTACGGCATGTAACTTTTTCAGCATTGATTTTACTAGGTTTTGTGTAAAATCTGATTTAATTTTTCTCCATTCTTCTTGCAATGCCTTTTTTAAATCATTTTTATTAGAAATCATGTGTTTTCTAATCCTTACTTCTAATTCATGCGAAATATTCTCAATTACGTTTAGGTCAGGTGATTGGGGAGGTGTATTCATAACTTTCGAGCAGTTATACATATAATTGCCACATTTTGACAATATGCTACGTATGTTTTGGGTCATTATCACTATCAAATTTAAAACAATTCAAAATTCCTAATTTCTCGGCACTACTTTTTAACTTCTTTTTTAAAATATTTAAATAATCAAATCTGTCCATGTTTCCTTTAATAAATTACAAATTTTCTGTTCCAGTAGCTGATATACACCCCCAAAGCATCACTGACCCACCTAAATGTTTAATAGTAGGATTCACATTTTTTATTTTAAATTCTTCATTAGGTTTACGCCATACAGTAACTTTGCCTTCTGAATGAAGAAGATTAAATTTGCTTTTGTCGGCAATAATAACTTCTTTCCAAAAACTAAAATCCTTATTTAGATACTGTCTCGCAAACTGTCCTTTTCTTATTTTTATCGCTGATAAATGGTTTATTTCTTGCGGCACGCCCATAAAAATCATTTTTTCTTAGTACTCTTCTTACAATTTTTGGATTAACAGATATTTGCAAATATTTTTCTACCTCGTTCGACAATTTAGGTGCACTCAGCTTTCGATCTTCTTTGATTTTTCTAATTATCCATCGCTCATCGTACGCATTAAATTTTTTGTTCGGTACTGTTCTTAATTTATTTGTAATTCTATTTTCTTCTCTATAGCGTTTAATAATGTATTGAACAGTGCTAATACTTCTACCAATAATTTTTGCAATTTCTCGATAGCTTTTCCCATTTTGAAAGTTCTTCGCGACAATTTCCCGCGCCTCTAGTGTCGTCTGCTTCATTTTTACTATTACATATTACGATTTATTTTCTTACTTCAATGCAATACCACGTTTACTAGCAAGCTAAAACAATGCGATTATCTTCTGTTTAACGTTCCTCCTTTCTTTTCGGGGATTCCTGGATGGGAATACCAGATAGGAGAATAGCGTATGACTTTAGCTGTGAGATGTTTTCTGCACCGTATTATAGTAACTTTATTTTTCTTATGTTAAGCAATATTCATTTCTTTTGTCATTATTACACAATAAATACATATATATTTACAATATATGTCTGCCTTATTTTTTTTCCAAATCATCCTCAAACTTCTTTTTTCGAATGAAACATATTTTCATATACAGTAAGTCGGAAAAACAACGGAACTTTTTAAATTTAATAAAAACTGTTAATGCCATCTATTGAAACAATATGTAACCTGAAAGCTGTATATTTCCTCTATAAAACAAAAGCATCATTATTGGAATCGACTAACGGATTGTTAAGTTATAACGGTTAAAGTGGCAGCACCTTTTGTCACTTCGTCGCAGAAACACAATGGAACATAGACCAAACATTAAAGTTTCAAACGCGGGAAAACTTTTACAGAAACATTTGAATTGATGAAAAAAGTTTATGGTGATGATTGTTTATCCCGCACACGTGTGTTCGAATGGTATAAACTATTCCAGAACGGTCGTGATACTTTGGAAGATGAGCCAAAGCCATGTCGGCCAAAAAAGAAAAATCGCGATGAGTGCGTGAAATGATTACCTACGATGCGATTTCAAGTGTGAGATGGATGGCAGAGGTATTAAATACGACTAAAGACATGATTCACGAAATTTTGACAAAGGACTTAAACAAACGGAAAGTCTGTGCTCGATTTGTTTCTCACGCATTAAATGAGGACCAACAGATTGCTCGCGTTGAACATTGCAAGGATCTTATTAAAACAGCCAGACGGAACTGCACTGTGCATTGTGACTGAAGACGAGACTTGGTGCTTCAAGTACGATCCACAAACAAAGCGCCAAAGTGCAACGTGGAAGTCCCCAGACACTCCGAAATCGAAAAAATTACGATTCCAGAAGTCACGAAAGAAGACAATGTTGATCTGATTTTATGATTCTAAAGGTATTATAGTTGGGGAATTCGTTCCTCAGGGTCAAAATGTCAATGGTGGATATTATCTGGGTGTTATGGAGCATTTGTGGAAAAAAATCGTTCGAGTGAGGCCCGAATATCGACCGCCAGGAAGTTGGTTTTTGTTGCACGATAATGCACCATCGCACAGGACTGTCGCTGTTCGTAAATTTTTGGTGAAAAAACAGGTCTGTGTGCTCCAACATCCTCCGTATTCGCCGGACTTATCTCGATGTGATTATTTCCTATTCCCAAAACTCAAACTGGCCATGAAAGGAACGTTTTATGACAGTGTTACACTAGTCCAAGGCGCGGTGACAAGAGTTATTGTGGCGATTCCACAAAATGATATAAAAAAATCTATGCTGGCACTAGTCGAACGTGTCCAGCGGTGTATTGATGCAGAAGGGATGTATTTTGAATAAAAAAAAATAATTTTGGCAAAATAACTACATAATTTTCTTTTTTTAATTTAAAAAGTTCAGTTATTTTTCTGACATACTGTGTATGTGGTGTACGATTTTGGCTGTGACTCACTGTATAATGTGTATCGAGTATTACCCAATATGGTTATCCATTATATAGGAAAATTTAATTACGAATATTTATTCACGATTTTAGACATCCTTGTTGAGACACTTAAAATAAGTTGCAAAGTAAACATACACATATGTGCCAATATCGTGGAAGAGGTTAAAATGTTTGACCACGCTTTATCAGTGTATTTATCTATATAATATTAATTATTATATTAATTAGCAGGGCGTGTACGAAAATTTTTAAGCGTTTAGTTTAGGTTTTCTTTTTTCAAATACGATACAATCTCAATAATTGAAGGAAAAAGGTTAATAGAAATTATTGAATGGAAGGATATAAATAATTTTGGTCAAGAAACGTGGCGATCAACGTATTACGCAAGCCATGCACCTAATTTTCGAACACTGAAAATATGAATGTAAAATACGAATGAAAAAGCGCCGTCATTTAAAGTAAAACCATGAATCAATTATGGAAAGGGGAAATATATCATTAACGCAAATACGATCGTTAAAAGTAGAGTGCAAATAAAAACGCGCGATACGGATCAGTCTGATATTTCGCAGTTAAATAATAAATCGAATGCCGGAAAATAGTACGAACAAAAACGCGAACGAATAAATTGGAACCTAACCTAAAAGACTCGACGGTGAACGCGATTCGTTGCACGTGACCAGCAGGAAAAATGGAAAAAAACGAAGGAATCGATGGAAGAGCCGAGCGCGAACTTATTCACTCAATTATTATCTTAAACGAAGCCAGGATTAATCGATCGTTGGTTTCAAGTTTCTTTCATTGGTCGCTCGGACGCGTCTGTTCGTGCGTTTTAAAAGCTTTAAAAGACCTCTAAAAGGACCCAATAGTAAGGAAACTTTTCGCGAAAAGTGATTTTTCCATGGTACAAAGGCTGTCGTCGACGTAAATACTGAAACTGCAAAAATGAATTCGCTTTTTGTTACTCTCGATCTTTTTTGGAACCGCGGAACGCGATTGAAGGAAATATCAAAAGGTAAGAGGTTAAGTCGATTTGAAACTTAATAATTCTCTTTTCACGTAAAAATCGACGAAGGAAAAAAATAAGAAAGTTGTTGAACGAGAAGTTGGAATGAAACTTTCATTAACCGTTTGCAAATTATGTTCCGAAAACGATTATTTTAAAAGCTGAAAAGGAGAGGGGAAACAAAAGTCATTGGCAATGCTGTTTTAAGTTTTACGCAAATAGCTGGCGCCGCGAACGATGTAATTTTCTGTTTTGCAAAGCTTTTGTAGTTCCACTTTCACTGTAAATCGATTTTTACTAAAATATTTGCATTTTCGATAAACGTTTTGTGGCACTTTATGTGTTTGCAATTACTCTACCAGCGAACTGTTCCAATAGCAATTGTTGCAGAGTGTAAATGGTTTTGTTATTTCTGATTGTAAATAGAATTGGCAGGTCCTATAATTCCATCGTTCGCAGCGTCGAAGTACAATGACACGATGCTGCGTCCCGTTTCGTCAGTTTGTTTTCATTCACTGTGGTAATTCTCATTTTTCGTGTCCAATTTTAATCAACGAATTTAAATTTTGCAAATCCAGGATCTGCTGGAGCTACTAACCTTTGAGAAATTGTTGACCGAGTAACTAAAATGCACGATATAAAGTTTTGACTAAACTCTTCGATATTTTCACGGGCTATTTTGTTGGAAATGTTTCCTCACGCAAATCTTTATCTATGCAATTTTTACTATCTGGTATTGTTTTTACAGCTTTCAAAATTGACGGTCTCGATACAGTTTTATATTTTGAACATATTTCTCTATTCGAGTTTTCAAGTTTTACCGCCTATATTTTTGAACATTTTATCTATTCTATGATTCTCAGTTTTCGTAACTTACAATATCGACGGTCGTTCACGTTTTTTATGTTTTCCCGCCATTGCCTTCGGTTTATATATTCTTGTATTTTGTTAGGTTAAAGATTACTCGAACCAAAATTCAAACGTTACGAATGAAATTAAAATTTAAAATT